CCTAAATTAAAATTTTATTTGTGTTAAGAAAATGTCGAGACAACAACAAAATCAAGGTACGATCATCAGAGATTTGCTAAGGGCGGTACAAGATTTGGGTAGGCAACAAGCACAGGGTGGTCCCCGTGGTACAAACGCTAACAACACCAGCTCAATCGTGGAACAGTTCCGTCGCTACAAACCCCCAACCTTCGATGGTAAGGCAGACCCACTAGCAGCTGAAGAATGGATAAGAGGAATGGAGCGAATCTTCAAACATCTATCTTGCACTGATGCTCAAAAGGTGTTATGTGCAGAATTTATGTTGGTTGACGCGGCAGGCCATTGGTGGGAGTCAGCATCTCGCACTAGAACAGAAGCACAACAACGTGCTCTGACTTGGACGCAATTTAAGGAGGAAATGATGGGAAAATACTTCCCACAAGCCCTGAGGGATCGCAAGGAGACAGAATTCCTTCAACTCAGACAAGGAAAGACGAAACTTGAAGAATATGAAAGAAAATTCGAACAACTCTCAAGATATGCACCACACCTAGTGGATACTGAAGCAAAGAAAGCAAGGAGGTTTGAACTTGGATATTGGTGGAATAATGGCATCCCACCAATTCACCACCTATAGGCACGTTTTGCAAACTGCCCAAGCAATCTCAAATAGGTTGGAAATAGATCAAATTCCCCAGCAAGGAGCCGAGTTATCAGGAAAGAGGAAGTGGAATGGGTCCAATGAAGGGAAGGGAGAGGGACAGAACAAAAATGTTAATTTTGGATCAAGTTTTGGACAAGCCATTTCACCATGTCCAAAGTGCAATAAAATGCATAGTGGTGAATGTTTGTTTGGGAAGCATGTGTGCTATCGATGAGGTAAAACAGGGCATATTTCCAAAAATTGCAAAGAAGACCCCTTGAAGAAGAATGATGAACAAGAAAAGAAGGGAAAGGCCCGAGTTTTTGCTTTAGCCCAGGAACAGACAACAGAAGACCCGAATGCAGGTAATTTCGAGGACGAAATTATTTTAAGGGGGTGAGATTGTAACATCCCAAAAAAAAAATTCTTTTTTTTTTTATAAAAATTTATTTAATATCTATATTATATTATTTCAAAAGTTGAGGGACTAAGAGGCAATATATTTTAAATTCTTATACTTTGAGTCAAATAATTAAATTTCGATAGAGTAAATATAAGTATATTAATATTATACTCGTTGGATAGCCAGTATTT